TATAATAATTCAAGATTAATTTACAAAGACAATTTTAAAGGATGGAAATTTAAACAAATAGTTCAATAAATTATGAATTGTTTTTGATTTTATTCATTTCTCTAACTTCACAAAAAATCAACTATAATTTTTTTAGAAAGATAAAACTTAAAAATCTTAACATTTAAATTTATAAAAAGGTTTTGTAAATTATGGATCATATTCTATAAATTAATTTTTATAACATGAAAACTTTTGATGATAGAGCCTTCAAAAGACCACTTTCAAAGCAATTTTATTGTGTTTTATTAAAATATGAAGAAAAAGCCACAAAAGAAGATATATGCATGGATGAAGTATGTAAGTGAGTTTTTGATTAAGGATTTAGTTGGTTAAAATGACTTAAATGTATGCAGTAATAGTATCATATTATGATTCCTAAATGGATCCAATCACATATTATTTTTTTGATAAATAACATCAATTTTTATAATATATTGCAAGAAAAAGTAAATAGGAGTAAGATGATATCTTAAAAAATTTAATAATGGCCAACTAATTGGAGTTTCCTAAAATACCAATAGAAAATTATAATTTAAAGAAAATCGTTCATTTAAATTAAAAGGAAGAGGTTTAAAAAGTAAACGAAAGAGTCTGTGAGAATATTGTAGGATAATTTGAAAAAAATACTGAAACTAATGATTCAACTATTCATGAAGAATTTTAAAAATAAAAAAATAATTTATATTTAAGATTAGCCAAAAAAAAAAAATTAAGATTTCAATTACTTAATTCATCAATTAATGTTTATTAGATTCCGTTTTAAGACTATGACGATTATAATCTAGAAAAAGGAAACTATCTAATTTTTTATTCAATATAGATATAGAATAATTAAAAAAAAGTTATTTTATTATTTATAAAAATTGAATAGACTTAATTCAGAATTATTGCTAAACCTAATAATTTGAATTTGTGATGGTATTTTTTTCAAATTGATTGTTATTATTGATTTGATTTTGAGAAAACACTTAATCAGTACTTTTTGTATGATTATCAGAATAATAAATGTAAGCATAAATATAAATTAAAATAATCTAATAAATTTATGATATTTACTTTAATTCCGAACAATATGTATTGTGTAATGACTTCATAAATTTGAAAAGCATGTTCTATTTAAAAAAACAATACATCATTAGATATCCAAGGTTTGGTATAAATGATGAGCCAAAATGTATCAAGAATAAGAGAGAATGCAAGCATTAAAGAAATTACTTTAATATGTAATTGCTATTACAATTTATCATTATCTAAATAATAGATTAAACTTTAGAAAACTACAATAGACTATAATAGATATTAGAATTTACATCCAAAAATTAAGTTTTAAAAAGATTTGCAAAAATGGTGGCAAATAAATAAATCAAGGATAAAATGAATGCAAATTTTAGTTCTTATAAATTAGAAGTATTGTTTATAAGTTAATTTTCTTATATGTGTTAAGCAGTAGAATATTCACTTAACATATTTTTTTATGGTTTATCTTTATGTTCTTCAAAAGGAAGGATCAAAAGTTTAACATAAGTTTTATATTCATTTAGATCTTTTTCAAGATTTTTTATATTTTATGATTATTCTTAAATAGATTCATTATAAAATTTTGTCTATCATAAACAAATTATTACATAAGAATGTATCCATTAAACTCTGACTCTAATTGTTGAATATGTAACAACATTATATTTGTCTTTTAATTCTAGAGTTTTTTCTTGTGGTTTTTGATCATAGTAATCTTATAAATTTATTGTTGTTTATCCTCCAATCTCCTATCTATCTTTCAAATCTTAATCTAAAATAACAATATAAATTTCTTCTTTCCCCGTTTTGATATCAAACTCAAATTTTTCTTCCCAAACTAGATTTTACCTGCTTACAGTTCTTGTAGATTATATTATATTATCACATCCCAAAATTACAGCTATAGGACCATTACCAGGAAATTTAACATTAGCATCATGAACAGTAATTCTAATTTTACTGTCTAAAGAAATTTTTAAAGAATTGAACTTTTCTTAAGACTATAATTGATTTAATATTTATTTATCGTCTTCTAATAGTTTTGTTTGTTTTTATATTTATGTTTAAATATTGGATATTTTATTTTCTAATGATTTTAATGCTTCTATTAAAATTGTTATGAATTTCTATATAGTAATTTATTGAGAACCAGTTTTGATAATTTTTTCATACATCTATTCAAAAAGACCTCTATCATATTCTTAATTTGACTATGAATCCAAGAATTTTAATAAATTTTCTTTACTAATAGGTTATTATTAGTCTGTAGATAATTTATTAAAGATGTGAACTGCTTATTTCATTATTTCATCTTTATTCATGTTAACTGTATTAAAAATTATTAATAAATTTAACGAATTCTCTCCTAATGAGACCATAATCTCCTAAATTTTTTTAAACTCAGACTATTGCTACAACTAGAGTTGTCAATTCTCCTCCAAGAGATAAAAGACATGATTCTTGTGGTAGATTGGCAAAGGTTACTACTTATTAATCGAGGCCTAAAACAACTGTTACTACTACTACATACAGACCAGTTATAGAAACTCGTACTGTCAAATTATGTACAGAAAAAAAATGCTCAGGACATGTAAGTTTATATTAATTGTAGGAAACTTTAATTGAATAATTGACTTCAGAAAATAATAAATTAAATCAAAGACTTATTGATCTTTAAAATGATTTTGATGATTAGATAGAAAAATATGAAAGTGAATAATAAACTTGGATTACTACAAATATTGAAATTGAAAGTATTAGAAAATTACTAGAAGAAACCTAAAAAAATCATAAACATGAAGTTTCTTATTTAAATTCTGAACTTAATACATTTAAATCATAGTTCCAATATTAAGATGATTAAATTAGATTCATAACTTCACAGTTAAAATAGCAAGAAGTACTCGAAAATAAAATTGCTCTTTTAACAACTGAAATTGAAAGATTACAATATGTAATTGAAGATAAAAATTAAATCATTTCATAATAGTTATTCAGATTACAAGATTATGAAAAACAATTATAAGTTGGGCAAAATGTAATTGAGGAAAGAAATCAAGAGATTTCTGATTTATAATCACGATTCAATCATTATGAATAAGATCTCGTATTCTCTAATAATATTATTCATGAACTTAAATCTGAAATTAATCAAAAAGATACATAAACCTAGCAATTGCTTGCTTAAAAAGATTCTTTACTGTAAACTTTTAGAGAAAATTTGGAACTTTTAGAAAACAAATTAGTTTAATCATAATAAAACGAGAAATTGTAAGAGGAAAAAATTAATTTGTTTTCGAAAGATTTAATGAATTTAAATGATAAAATCCATTAACTTGAAAATGAATTAAATCATTAAAAAGAATCAAATTTTTAATTAAATCAGCAAGTAATTATTAATGATCAAGCTAATGAAATTTTATAAAGTTAATTGTTTTAATAAACTTAAGATCATTAAAATTTAGTTATAAATAAAGACTCTGAACATGAAATAACTAAATAGGAAAAAACAGCATTGCTTAACCAATTATAATAAAAATAAGTAGAATTAGAAGATAAAACTAAAGAAATTAATGATTTGAATGATAAAAATTAAGTTATAATAATTTAATTAGATGAAAAAACGAATCAACTAAATCATCTTTTTGAAGAGTTATAATAAACAAAAACTAATTAAAATAATTATAATGAACAGCTAAAATTTTAGTAATAACAATTAAATGAATTAGAAAAATAAAATACTGAATTAATAGTTGATATAAACTTAAAAACAGAAAGTCTATTATAATTTGAATAAAAATTAGAATTCTCAATTGAATTAAATAGATAATTATAAAATCAGATTTGCCAATTACAATAACAGAAGAATGAAGTTGAAAGTAAAAATAATGAATTAGAAAATTAAATTAAATCATCATAAAATGATGCAGAAACATAACAGAAATAAATAGAAAATTTGAAATAATAGTTAAATGAAGAATTAAATTAATTTAGAATAGAGAAAGATAATCTTCTCTTAAAAAATAAAGAGTTTGAATAATCACTTTTAAGTCTATAATAAAATTCATAAGAATAAATTACTAAATTATAATCACAAAATAATAATCATCTACTAAGTGAAGAATCTTTAAAATAAGAAAAACTAAAATTAATAGAATAAATATTGCTTTAATGTTTTGAGTTAGAAAGATTAGGAAATTAAAATAATTAATAATAGGGATAAATAAATTCTCTAGAGAATAAATTATCTCATCTTGAAGATAATATAAAAAAAATGAAAGAAAGTGAACTTTTAAATAGTTAAAAATAAGATATTAAATTAAAATAGTTGCAAGAATAATTAGATTAAAATATCAAGTAAATTGATAGTCTAAAAAATGATCTTAAATATTAGCTTTCTTTAGTAGAAGAATTAAATAAAAAAAATCATTTCTAATAAGAATAAATATCTCATTTATAAGATGTAGAGTAACAACTGAAATTCTTGAATGAGTAAACAAATTTCTAGACAAAAAATTTATAAAAAGAATTAGAAAATAAGATTGAATCTGAAAGTTCTCTAAGATTTAAGTTAGATAAATTATTAGAAGAACTTAAAATTAAATAAATGTAATTAGTAGAGATGGATTCTTAAATGAGATTAATCGAATAAAATAATAATTTTGATCTATCCAATTTAGAAGAGAGAAACAGTTATCTATAAAATGAAGTGGAAACATGGAGATAAAAATTTTCAATTTTAAATAAGGATTATCATAGAGTTCAAGAAGATTTAATGATGCTTCAAGCAGAGTTTGATGCTTATAAAAGGAGAGGTCAAGATTTAAAGAATATTAAAGTAATAAATTAATATTAAATATATTAGGAGTCTACCTATTTTGAGGTGAGAAAATCCTCTTTATATAAAGAAAATATAGATATAAAAGGAAGTTAAACTTCAATAAGTCGACTTTTCAAAGAAAATATATGATTGAGATATAATTTTTTATATAAAACTATGCATGAATAATCATAATTAATTTTGATCTGATGAATAATCCTAAATTGTTCTCCATTATTTATACACTCAAACAATTTAAACTATTTTTATATAATAAAGATATTAGCTTGAGATTAACCTCTTATTCTAAGAAAATTTAAACCCAAAAATTGGATTATGAGATAAAGCTATTCTATCTTACTATGTTTTTTTAAGTTTAATAATTTATTCCTTGTGTAATGTATTCTAAAAATATATCGTAGAATAATTTGTAGATAAATAATCTATAGTAATTTATTCTCCATTTGATAGTTCTCTTTAAGTTTATTATAAGTAAGTCCACTGTAAATTGCATTCCAAAAGTAAATAATATTGGATTCTTAACTAAAAGCTATAACTTTATAAGCAATAAATAATAGTCTTGATATTTAATCATTTTAATTATCATAATTCTAATGATTTGATTATTCGAACTTAATTAAATCTGAAAATGAATAAACGAATTCTAAAATTATTAATAATTTAGTTATATCAGAAAGGGATGAAATTAAAGGTTTTATTTATGAGACAAGTAGAGTTGAATTATTGATAGGGTTAAACAAGTTACACTAAAAATTCTTCAATGAAACTTGAGAAATAACAAAATTGATCATTTGTTTAGATATCTCTTATAATCTCTTAATATTTCATTTATAACAATAATTTAAAAAAATCCATTTGATAAATAGATTTTGTTTTTCAGAAAAGAATAATTAAAATTATATCAAATAAGATTTTGCTAAACTGATCAATAATAATTTAAATTATATTAAGCTAAAATATTAGTGACTTTTTCTGATAGTGCATCTGGTTCATCACGAGCCTTAGTTAATAAAAGTTCTTCAGCTTTGTAATCGACATTTTATAACTCTACCTAAAATAAAACTCTAGATCTAGCTGTATTTATCATTAATAAATAAAGTAAACATTTAATTCTTTTTAATTAAAGATCCGAATCATCCTCATATTTATAAAATGAATCTTATAACATCTTTAACAATTCTTGATATAATTCAATATTGATTTCTTAATATTGCTTATTAAAGTTCAATGAGTCACAAGGTTCACATTGAATTTTCTTAAAAACATTTTTATTAACCCAATTAAAAATTCCTTCGCTATTTCCTTCTCTAAGCTGAACTTTTTCAAGTTTTGGTTAATCTTCAATCATCACTTACTTTTCTAATAACTAAAATCTATCAAATGATCCTAAAGTTTATTAAAAGAATTAAAATCTTTGCTTTAATTTTTTGTAAAGTTGTTTTGAAATCATTCTTAAATATTCAATATACATGTTAAATTTAGATTTCATTGTAATGAAAGTAAGTTTAGAGTCATTAACTATTGGTATTAGTTGTTCAAGATAATCAGCCAATTTCATTAGAGCTGTATATTAATTTCTTATATGATAGAGTTGCATAATTTAATCATTTTGTTTCTTTTTGGGATCATATACATTAGAAGGAAACAAATTTTTGATTTCACTCTTTTTAGCCTCTGAATCAGTTTAGATTTATGTATCAGGTGTTGGGTTCAGAAAATCATAGAAATATCCTTACTGTTCTGTATTCATAATTGTTTTAATTTAACTTTTTCTTTAATTTTCAGATACTTATTATATTTGAATTTATGAGTATTCTTAATATTAAAGTTATTAGTATTATTATTATTAGTATTATTATTATTAGTATTATTATTATTATTATTATTATTATTATTATTATTATTATTATTATTATTATTATTATTAGTATTATTATTATTATTATTATTATTATTTCTTTATTTAGGATTCTTCATAAAATGATTCCTCAATTTTTTTAGAATAAATGATTTAATTAGAATCCAATTCTAGATCAATTGGGTTCATTAAGTCTCCTTATCTATATTTTAAAAATTCATGTTAATATAATTCAGAAAAGGTAAGCCTTTATTTTGGATCATATTTAAGCATTTTTTCAACTAAGTTTCTTAATGAAATATTATTAATATATTTTAGATTAACATTTTCTTATTTAATTAAGTCTTAGAGTGGAGTTCTATTTGTAGGATCAAAATAAGGATATTTACCAACAAGCATGTAATATAAGCAGACTCCTAAACTATACATATCAGCTTGGAAAGAGTATTTTTATTCATTTAATATTTCAGGAGCTTTATTTATAATTATATTTGATACCCATATTTAATTCTGTTCCTGCCCAAGTATTTGTTTAAGCTTACATATCCTCCAATTTCTTGGCTAATCCTAAGTCAATTAATTTATAAGTCGCTCTCTCAAATACTGTAAGATCATTTTTATTCTATAAATTATTTTAATCCTATATTGTTAATTGAACAGCAAAATTTTCTAATTTTAAATCTCTGTGAATGATTTTATTTTTATGCAAATAGCTAAGTCCATTTGCAAGTTATCTCAAAATAATAATAACCAAATCATCAGGCAATTTTCCTTTATAATATCTTTTCAACATAAACTCTACATCTAAAAAACAATACTAAAATTTAATATTAAATAAGTACTTCAAGAATCAAAATTAATTTCTCATTAGATTGATGACTTTTAAATAATTTGATTACATTTTTATTATCACTTTCTGATAATAATTTCATTTCATTCTTCATATATGGAATAATCTCCATTTACATATTTTTTATATCTATAACCTATTAATTTGAAAAATCAATACTTTTATAGCAACTATTTCTCCATCATTGTTTTCTGCTCTATAAACTTTTGCATAAGATCCTCTTCCAATAGGAGCTAAATTTCTAAATTCTCCAGGGAAGGCAGCTTAAATTGCCCCCTGATCAGATCCATTTTCCATCATTTAATTCATGAAATATTAATTAATAAATAGTAATAGAAATTAAAACTTTATAGAATTCGATAAAATTTTGTTTTATAATTAATTCTGATAGTATTAAATAAATAATGTTTTTTTGTAAGATTATTAAAAAATTTATCAATAATTCATCAACTTTTAGGCAAAAACAGATCCATTTTTTATGCATTTGTCAACATTGATGTACTGGCATTTTTTTAAAATACACTTGTTGGTTTCATAGAGCTAAAAATTATATAAAATAAAACTACTAAATTTCACTATTTCCAGGCATTTAATAAGCAGGCATTAATGGATTTGTGTATCTTTTACTTTCAATACCTTTTTTAAGTGATCCTGGTTTCACACCTTCTATATCAGATACACTATTAGTTTATCGATAGTCTTTCCTTTCATTTTTTCTTAAAAAGTGTTATGAGTGCGAACCAGCTTATGCACCAATAATATCTTATGTGGTTAGAATTGAAGAAGCAAATTTATTTATTGTTACAGGATGTAACTGTTTAGTTTTGCTTCCTTCTATAAAACCTATTTAAACTAAATTGCTAATTTATTAAAATTCTGTTATACCCTTCATCATCTCTATGTGGATAAACAGGATCTATAGGATTTGTATTTCGAACATATTTATGTAATAAATCGTTATTAATATCTTTAACTTGTAAGGAATCAACATAATCTTTCACTTTAATACATTAATACCCTTAGGTAAGAAACGCTATTTCGGATGTGAACCTTCTACCTCTTCCATTGTAATTGGCTATTTTTTTAATTTTTGATTAATGAATGATGGCTATGCTCCCTCAATATCTTAAACATTATAGCTATCTCGAATGAATTTAGGTTGAATTGGTTCAGCTTATTCATAAGATGCTATTTTATAAACAGGTTCAAGTGGATTTACTGGTTCTCTATTTGTTGAAAATTTATTAACTTAAGGTCTTGTTCCTTTAATATCATCAACCATTAATTAATTATCAAATCTATTGCTTGATCTAATCAATGGTCGAGATTTAGTTCCTGGAATGTCATCATCTCTATTACAAAATTATTCTTTATTTAAGTATTAGTATGGTTTTAATTTAGGAGCTGCTCCATCAATTCCTTAAATAGTCATTGTTGATTAAGATCTATTTTCATAGTTTAAATCTCTTTTTTAGTTCTCTAAATTTTTATGTATTTTAAATACTAATTGTTGAAAGACTCATAAGGTCTTAACGATGAGGGAAAGGCCAATTGTATGGATCTTATTGCATTAAGTTACAAGACAATATAATTAAATATACTTTAGTAATTAAACAATTATTTCAATAAAGCATATTTTAATACTATTGTTATTCTTAAGGTTAATAAAGTGATCCAAAACCTCCAGAAGAACTATAAATTTTATATTCAATTGGTGGTTTTTCTCTACTTTGTAATGCTTTTCCAAATTTTTATAAATCATTTCTCAATACTGTTTATTTTTCTTATTTTCCTAAATTTTCTCTTTTCAAATCTTATTTTTCCCTTTTTAACTCAGCAATCTATTACTATAAATGTTTAATTTATATATCATATTCTTATTAAGCTGCCTATGTTTCTATAAAATTTTACTTTTTTAGCAGCAGTAGCTAATGCTAGATCTTTTTGTAAATTAATAAGCTCATGTTGTTTATCTTCTATTAGTGAAGGATAATCCTTTTGAAGTTTCTCTGCTTTTTCTTTTAAATGATTTTACTCTAACTATAGAATTACTATACTATACTTATGATTTCTAATTAAATTTTATGAATTTCTTCTTCAAGATCAATTCTTTTTTAATTTGTTTTTTCTGTCTTTTCTAAATGCTTTTAAAATTTCTTTTCCTCTTCATTTATATAAGATGCTAAGTTCTTTAATTTATTTTATTCAATAACTGTATTCATTTTTAAAATGTAACTATTTAATAATATATTTAAAAAATGTAATATGAAACAAAAATATAACAATCATGCAATTTTTACAATTGAAACACCTTCGGCTTAATTACTTTGGATATTTGCTAATTTTTATTTTTATAATTTTTTAGACATTGTCTATAATTAATCTTTGAATGCTTTTTTTTTTTCTTTTTAAGCTTATTTTAATTGTTTTACTAATTCTTTTCTTTGTTTTTTTTCTTCAGGTGTTTCTTCTTTTTTAATTACTACTTATTTCAAAGTTTCTAAAAAATAATAATAAATGATTACCACAAAGAGCCTCTTTAACCTTCTCTTTTTCTTATTTTAATTCATTAATTTTAATTTTTTCTTCTTATTTTTATTTCATTCTATCTTCTTTAGTTATTTGTACTTAACCTTTTTATTTATATTTAATTATATTCAACTGTTCTGGGTTCATTTTAGACATAGTGGTATTATGAAGAGATTTAGTAACAATTGTTTCTTAATATTTTTCAGCTGGTTCCATATCAGGACATTCTTCATCAGTTGATTCTCTATTTAAATAATTTTATAATGCAATATCTTCTTCAGGAGTAAGAGGTGGAATTTCCTTTTTTAGATGGAATTAAGAAAAATCAGCATTAGGAAATTTTTATCTTAAGTATTCATTATAATCTGTATTTTTTAAATATTCTAATCTTTTTTCCTTTTGTTCTATAACAATTATAAAATTATATTATACATTCAGTTTCTTCTTCTTGATCTTTTTATTTATGTTAATTTTTAGATTTTTTTTACTATTTTTTGGTCATAGTATTTAGATGATCATCAATAACTTTGTTAAGCATTTAATCATTAACGAATTCTTTATTTTATTGATCTGGATCTTCATTATCATCAGGTGCCTCATAAGCATTCATTTCTCTTTCAAATTCTCTTTCCATATCTGAATCAATTTCCAAATCTGAATCTGAATCACTTTCTTATTTTTTAGTTTATTTTTATTATTTTTATTATTATTATTATTATTATTTAGAATTCATTTATTTTTTATCATAAGTAATTTCTATTTCTTCTTCATCTTCATAATCTTCATCATTATCAGATTCTTAATAATCTTAAAATCTAACTTATTTTTTTGGTGATTCTGTAATTTATTGTATTTTCTCTAAATTTTCAACTTTCTCTTAATTTTATTATTAAGTAGATAATGATTAATTTTATTAAATTAAATTAGAAACAAAATCATCATCTAATTATTAATCTTAATTATCTTAATTATCATTATCTTCTTCATCATCTTCATTCATTAATAAATCATAAACTTCTTATTATTCTTTAGTTAATTCTTCTCTTTTAAAATCAATATCATAAACAACCTTAGATCTTTCTTCTTCAGGAACAACAAAAACACATTCAACTTCTCCTTAAGCTAAGAATTGATATAAATATAAAATAAGTACGTCTTTCAGGAGCAAGATGTTAAGTATAATCATAACCATCTAAAGGTAATCCATTTTCATCATAATGTTTCATAACAACATCTTAGAATTATTCTTATTTTTATTTAAGTGCTTATAAAGCCTTTTATTTAGCTAATTAATGAATCCATAAATCTTCTCTTCCAGCTACAAGATTTAAAGCATCTTAAGTAGGATCAATTAGTGGAATATGAGGTTTAAGATTAGGATCAAATTTACCTTTGTTAAGTTCTTTTTCAATTAATTCAGATCTATTATATTAAAAATGGTATACAATTCATTTTAAACACCTGGTTGATTAATTTTTTAGAAACAAATCATGTCTGTAGCTCCTTAATTGTTTTCACCTGGTTAATGTACCATTTTAAGTGTTGCAGCATTCTATTTGTTAATGAATTTCTTCTTGCCCATAAAATAAAATAATACAAAAATTTAAATATTATGAATAACTATCATATTTATGACGAGATAGGGAAAGGAAAGTATTCTGTTGTATATAAGGGAAGAAAGAAGAAGACTATTGAATATATGGCAGTAAAATCATTAGAAAAGAGTAGACGTACTAAACTTTTAAATGAAGTATGAATTTATTTGAATCTTTAAGGTTAAAATGTTTTCTGGTTTAAAGCATCCAAATATATTGAAATTTTATCATTGGTATGAGACTCGTAATCATTTATGGGTAATATTGGAGTATTGTCCAGGAGGAGATCTCATGGCATTAATTGAAGCAGATTAATAAGGATTATAAGAAAACATAGTTATGCGTTTTGTAAGAGATATGGCAGCAGGATTGAATTATTTGCATTCAAAAGGAATAAGTTAGTTTCATGAATTTATTTAATAGTCTATTGTGATTTGAGACCATCCAATGTTTTATTTAATGAGTACGGTGTGGCAAAACTAAGTGATTTAGGAAATGCAAAGCGTCTAGTTGATATGATTTCAGCAACCATTGGTCCAGATGTTGAAATGTCTAAAAGAGGATCACCTTATTATATGGCTCCAGAATTATTTCATGAAGGTGGTGTATATAGTTTCTAAAGTGATTTATGGGCCTTAGGATGTATTGCTTATGAATTATGCATTGGATAAGCCCCTTTTTAATGTAGCAGCTTTACTGAATTAGTTGAATTAATTCTTAATGCTGAAGTTAAACCACTTGAAGTTTAATGTTGGGACTTTATCAAAGGGTAAAATAAATCATCTTATTCTAGATTATTAGAAAAAGATCCACTAAAAAGATGGGGTTGGGAAAAAATCTGCAGATTCTTAAATATCTAATATTTGAATGTTCCATCTCAACCACATTTTGAAACCTGGTGCAAAAAAAATAATCTAGTTAGAGTTACTCCTGTACAATAAAACAATAAATAAGTTGACATTGTTAGGCTATCCTTAAATGTTCATAAAAATATGTTAAGAGAAGATGTTCCTACCAGTTCTTAATAATAATAATATCACAAATAAAATACCAGCAATGATAAAGATTTTAAATTAACTAATAAGGATTAAGAAATTTTGATTGGTTCAGAATAATAATAAGAAGATGAAGAAATTGATAGAACACCTGAAGAATATTAAACTAATGTCTAATCTGATCTCAATTCTATCAATTCTCCTCATTTATAATAGAAACCATTTACTATTAAAAAAGATTCAGTTCATCCATCTACTTAAAGTCTACTTAATTAGTCACCTATTCCAGGTGGAATTACTCCCTAATAAAAAAAGGCAAATGATAATGATTAATTAACTCCAATAGATTAATTATTTACTCATAGTTCTGATAATTCAGTCAAACCAATCATTGGAAATAGAGAAATTGAAAAATCTACTGATGCTACCTTTACTAAAGATTCATTACCTTTTTAATATATTAATTCAGATGATGTTAATCGAAACATAGAAACAGATTAAATAGAATACCATTTTGAATAAATATATAATTCATTACAAGTAGCAAAATAATAGGAATAATTAAATATTCTAAACTATTTTGAACAAATAATTTAAACATCAAATGCAGCTAATCGTTTAATTAACTCTGCCTATATTTAATTATTATTAAAATTATTGACAGTTAGTAAATTAACATAACTAAAATATCGAATTTGTTGTGTATTAGGCTTATTAATTCGTCATGCTACTGTTATAGAACCTGAAGTTTCATAACATGGAATACCTGAAGCTATGGTGGAAATATTAAATTCTAAAGAATAGAGTAATGTTAGAAGAAAAGCAGCAGCAGCTTTAGGAGAATATTTATTTTATGGAGCAACATAAATGGAAGAAGATCCTCAAAATCCTTTTTGGAAAATGAGTAATCTTAGTTTCAATTAATTGATAAAGATTATAAAATCTTAAAATGAAGATGAAATTGGTATTTAATTGAAATAATTTAATTAGTAAAATTTTATTGTATAAAAACAATTGAGAATATATCATCTTAATCAATATCAATAGGATAAAGATTTGCTAAACCAGAAATAGTGTTAATGATTCTACAATGCTTTCTGTCAACGAAAAATGATAGCTTAAGAATCAGTTGTGCAATTACATTAGCGAATCTATTAATGTTAGATAATCAATAAGTTGATGTATTTATGTAAAATCTTGGATTAAAAAGCTTAGTATCGGTATTAATAAATTTTACTAAAATTTTATAGATATTTTTGGATAACTTACAAAGAGTTTAATAAGCAATGATAACAATATTTAATATTCATCTTTTGCAAAGTGTAAGCACATAAGATTCCTCAAACAATAATGTATCTTAATTGGCCTCAAATGCAGTCAATAAATTATTGATGGAAGAATGTATTATACGATTTCTTATAAATATTAGCTTAATTAATAAAAGGGTTGGTTTATTTATTGGATCATGGTAATGCTGTAAGTAGAGGAAAGGCAGCAATTGCTCTGATGTTGATGATTAAATTTAATATTATCACTCTAATTAATTTATCAGAAGAGTAATTAAGGTTTTATCAAATTTTGGATAAAGGACTCAGAGATAACAATGATTACTTAAAATAATGTTTATCACATTTGGTGTAATAATTGTGTGATTGCACTCCTATAATGATAACCTAGATTAATTAATCATTAAATGATTCATAATTGATGGAATACTCTCCAAAGAAAACTAATGGAAATTATTTAAATGTTTTATTCTAATATTCACAAACACCAGTTTTATAACAATCATTGTTTTCATCGTAATATTTACCAATCCTAACAGAATTATTGTCATTATCAAAAAATAAAACTTAAATTTAAACAACTTTATTGAACATTATGTCTAAAATGTGTACAAACTCAAAAATATTATTAAAATAGCAATAGGTTATTATTCAATAAGTACTAAAAAATTGTATAGAATATATGATTAAGTAACAAAGTACTGAAACTAAATTTATGTTTTTGAAATTAATCATAGATTTGTTAAGTGCATTATTATAGGAAGAAGGAATATATGATTATCCTAATTTTTTAAAACCTTACTCAAATGAATTAAATAATATCATAATTACACTCATTTTACCTTTACTAAAGGAATTATTTTAAGAATAACCTCCATTGCCATTTTATGCTCTAAAATTAGCATCAATTCTCCTAACATACAATTCACTCTTTCTCCCTCATTTTAAAAAACATGAAGTTCTCTAAGCTATTTTAGATATGTACAAACCAGATAGTAATAATATTACTGGTCACACTTTAAATATAATTCAAAAAATTGTAGAAGGAAGTACAATAGAAGATCTAAAACAATTTTAAATAATTGGTATTGATTAACTATTAAACTTTAGATAAATCAGTTTAAATATTTGTTTAATTTACAAAATAGAAGTAAGAGTGGGCTTTCGAAGATCTCTCTTCCATTATGGTTGCAATTACAACTAAAATAATTAATGAATTGTAGCGAGGAAATAATAAAATTGTAGTCAGTCCAGATAATACTTTAGTTCCTTAACCTTTTCCTCAAGAATTCTTATTTTTTTAGGATCAGTTCTATTTCACTCTTCAATATGCTTAACAATTAATAAATATTTCTACTCCAGGATGTCAATTAACACTATTAGCATATATTTTGCATTTGACATATTTTTATCCAGGAAAACTTTCATAAATTAGATAGCAATTATTTAATTAATTAATTCCATTATTATGTCCTTAACTAAATAAAAGAATTATTAAGTTATTGCATTGGATAGTTGTACTAAATGAATAAAAACCATTTAAGATTGAAAAGAAAGATATCCTAATTTAAGTTTTGGAAAAATATTAAAAAGAAGACAAATCTATTGCTATGGCTGCTAAAGATTTAATGAAATATCTTCTTTGAATTAAAATATATTATATTTTTATCTATATTATTAAATCAAATTCCAACTGTAGATCGAACATATTATTCGAAACTTGGTTAAGTAAGTAAACCATAGGCTTACTTACTAATTTCAATTTCTTTATTATATTCTGTAACAGTTCTTGTATACAAATCTGTTTCAGCAGCATAATTATCATTTTCTGCTTATAATTGGGCTTCAAGTGTTTCTTTGTCATCTTTTCTTTAATCTACATAAACGATTGTTTCTCCCAATTTTTCTAAGATTTATTTTTATAAAATCAAATACATTCATTTGCAGTCAATTCTGAATTTTTAATTAAAACTGATCTTTAGAACTCTGCAAATTCTTTTTCCAATTAAGCAACCCTTTCGGTATGTTTAATCTCTGCTGAACTTTCATCTGCAGTTTCTTAATTGAGAGAATCAACAAATTGTACTCTTAATTCATTAAAAATTTTGACTAACTAAAAAGTTATATTTATTGTAATAATTACTTATTATACTGAACCTTAGTCAGCAAAATTTTATTCAGTTGCTAATTCAAGTAAAGCTTTTATGATTGGGGCAAAAGAAGAACGATTCTAAAATTATGTTTGAATTCTGCTAAGATTAGTCTATACTCTCTTAAATTAAATAAGAGATGGATTTGATATTTAAGATAATAATCCTAAAGATTCATCAACTGCACCAATAGCTTCATTTAATTCAGCAATGTTATTTAAAAATTATTCATGTTATCTCTTTCTGTTCAAAATTTCTCCATCTACTATTCTTCTATTTTCTTCAATATTAATTTTCAATTAAGCTAAGGCTGATAAGAATCTTTCTTTTTATGGAATGAGAACATTATCTATAAAATCTTACCCAGTAAAGATGTCTAGATTAAAAAGAATTGATACCCTTTGCAGCATCCTGGATTTCTTATTCTAACCTAGTCACATCACGAAGATGTTCATCAGTTCTTCTGGAATATGCATTATGAATATCTTGTAGCTCTTCTTCTAATTGAGTTATGAGTTGATTGATGGTTTCTACTAATTCAGATAAAGCGCCTCCAGTGGATAATTCAACTTCAGCGAATTAAACAATGAATTAAGCCCATGAGGATTCCTTCAATTTTTCTAAGGCTTATGTGGTTATTGCATTGTTAAGAGTGATTTCAACAGTTAAGACACTTAGCAATAGACAGGCTATCAAGGATGTTTTCATTTTTTTAAATTAAAAATTAAAAACGATATTCTCGATGAACTAACATACTTTGTCAATTTATTTTAAATTTGAAGATAGTTTAATAAAATGTAAAAGTAAATTTATTTATAAATGTAATACATAATTAGAATAATGATTATGAAAATAGTGAAATTAATTAATGTAGTTAGCAAATTCAATGAGGACAAGAGAAGAAATAGAATACTTAGAGAATGAAGTGTATCCAAAATTACATATAGCTTTGGTGTAACTAATAGATCATGTAGTAAAGACAGAAGAGGTGAGAAAGCATCAAGAAAGATTAAAGAAAATAAAAATATTTGATCGTATAGAATAAAAGAAAGTAGAGAAACAAAGGTTGAAAAATGAGTTAGGATCGGCTTATGAATCATCATCTTAAGGTTCTGGAGATTAGGAAGATTTTGGAGGAATAAGTTAATAGTAAATAAAAAATAATGATGAATCGATATTTCCAATAAACAATCAAATTCAAGGTCCAACAGGAATTTCTATAGATGATTTGAGTCCTTAGGAGATGAAAAAAGAGATAAATCTAGCATTGAATCAAATTCAAGAGGATCAAGAGGATGAGGAAGCACCAGATTAACAGGAATTAGAGCATTTGAAACTGTAAATGAAGTAATAAAGAGAAGCCTTAGAATTTAATCCTTTGATTTATTTAGCACATTTATTAAGAGAATAGTAGAAATGATTAATTAATTATTATAATGGCAGCTCGCTAAGTGTATTGTCGATTGTAGCCGAAAGTGAATAATTATCATAATGATGGCACAGGAAGGTATTTAAATAAGTGAGTACAGGGACTCTTACATAAGCAAGTTCAACGGAGGATAGATGAATCAGACTCTGCAATCTTAAATTGCTCCTCAGGCATGTGATGACTTTGAGAAGATGCATTATCTAACTAAATCAAATAGCAATTTGAGACGTTCTGGTAACCTGCCTCCATAGATACCAATAAAGACTACAAAGTATTGGGGTGATGGAACTGGAAGAGATTATTTTGTGATAGTCAATGATGGGGGATAGTGTAATCCATGTTATTGGTGGGACAATGTTGATATCCAGTTTCAAAGATAACTCAGAAACTATTAGAAGACAGGACCTTTAAGAATTAGCAGTGCTTGTCCTTCAAAATAATAAGACAGGTTAGCAGAACCTAAAAAGCAGTTACAGATTAAATAAAGACCTCATACTCCAAATATCAAGCAGGCTCATAAAATCTATCAATCTTATCAAACTCTGAAATATTAGAGCAAGGCTCGTAATTTAAGATACAAGACACATTATGATAATTGATAAATATATTTTGGATTATTTTATTATTTTCACAATCTATGTAAATATTCACCAGCTTTAGTGATATATCTAATCCATTTTGTTGGCTTATAACCAGCTTTTTCATAAATTCTTAAGAATCTAACTCTTAATCCACTTGCTGTAAACATGGGTACTTAAAATTCCATAGAAATAGGTGGTTTTATCCAAGGCTATTAATTTGTAGTCTGACCTAAATCGATTTCACATCGTAATAAAGCTTCGAAATCTCCAGGGTATTTTTTGATTCTCCAAATAACTCCTTATTAATCTGGCTCATGTTTAGCTTTTCCAATGGCTGAATTTGTACTCACATTTGCAGTATTCTTAGGTACTGGAATCTTTATGGCTAAATTTGTTGCAAATAAATTCTTCTCAAAAATAGATTTAATCTTTAAAGATACATATACTTAATACTTTGACTCTTATTTCTAATTTATTCTTTCCTAATTCATTATATACAGGCATTATTTTAAAAGGTAAATTAATATTCTCAGTTATCCTATAAGTCATTAACTCAAATTAACCATCTGGTGGAATAAATGTTATTGCTCTCTCTTTATCAAATTTAGGCAATTTCACACATTAATGGAATTTCAAATCATCAATTGTAATTCCCTTATCAGTAGTTGTTTATCCAGGTTTTCTTGGTTCTCTCTACATTAACAATTTATCATTCATTCCAAATTTACATTCTGGCATTCCAGATAATAAGCATTTTACTTATATTGATCCAGCCACATCAGCCTTTAATATTGTTCCTTTCACAGACATTAAAACATTCACACTCTCTATCACATCTAAATAAACTTCATTTTTTCTATATACAAGATTAGGTGGCCTCCAAGATGTTGCTCCTGTTGCTTATGATGTTAATTATTTTAGCTTTTCTACATCATTCATTAACTCTGGCTTCAATCCTCCTTCTTATATATACTATTAAACATTAGTAACATCCATAATACCTTTTTCAAAAGATCTGCATCTGCTATCTAAGGAACACCATAATCCATCACTTCATCCAGAATCTCATAAATTAACACAAAATGCTTCTTTATACAATTTTCATCAAACTCTCCACCAAAGTAAGCTCTACATACTTTAACCTAGATTTAATATTCAATTTCTACTAATTAATAAAGAAATTGTAAGGTCATTGCTACATTTACATTTACTTTTGTTGTTGCTAACACCACAATGTCTTTTATAGTAATGTGGATAAATGATGTTCCTGTATTTTTTAAATATCATTTATTACCATCTATATTTATTATTGGGCATTCTTTATTCTCCTTTGTGGCCACAATCTTAGCACAAAATTGGGTGGTTTCACTTCTTGTTATATCATCTTTATAGACTCGATATATCAGGATTTCTCCCTTATGATTAATAAACACTATTGAACTAATCATTTTATATAAATATATATGTCTCAAATCTTCAAATTTGCAATTCTTATACTTCCAAATAATATTTCTTTCAATCAAATATCCCTATATCTGAACGAATCAAATCAAATTAACTCACAAATAATAAAGGAAGCTCCTTATTCAATACTAAAATTTTAATTTCTTAAATCTGATTCTAATTGTTTTTCAAATTCCTTACTTTTAGCTTATGATATTTAATAAAATTGCTATTTTTCAAATACATTTAATTTCAAAAATTAATGTTTAATTAATCTAGCAATCATATTTCGAGAAAGATTTACTTGAGATATTATGTGATACATTAATATGGTTTGCCTAAGTAAAATATCTATAATAATAATAAAAATAATACAGGTTTATTATCTTCTTCTTCTTCATCTTCATTTTATTTTAATTATTTTAAGATTTATTATTATTATATTTTTAATTCTTATTATTTTTGAGCCAATTCTCTACTTTTTACAAGAAGTGCATCTCTTTATTCTGTTAATTTTTCAATTTATTCTCTACTTCTCTAAATTGAATTCTTTAATGATTCAACATTTTATTCTAACTAATCTTAAGTAAATTATTATTATTCATCTTATTATTCAACTTATTAAATTTTTTAATCTATTTCATCTTCTTGATTTTAAAGAGCTGTTTTATTTTATTCTATTTATAATTAAAATTCTTCTACTTCTTATTATTATTTCTAAAGTAATTCTCCTAATTTTTATTCATTTTAATCTATTTATTATTCTAATA